AATTAAAGCTTATACTACTCGATAAAGAACCGTGTATTTTTACGAATTTAAATAAAACGGTTTTTATAGCGTTTTACGTAAACGATATTTAAGTTATATATTATTACTTTAATCTTTTTAAAGCGTAAAAGATCATTAACGGTCTTAACAAAGCGTATAAGATCGAAGCGATAAAAGATATTAAATGGTTTCTTAATATAAAAGTCGCTCGAAACCGTTAGCGAAAAACGCTAACGCTTATATACGACGCTTATATTAAAAAAATAGTTAAGAAATTCGAACTTACGAACGAACGTTACTTAGCAACTTTATTATTGTTTTATAATTTAATTAAAAATAAAAAGATAGCTTCGCGGAAGCAAGTAAAAAAGTATTAAAAGAAGGTTAGATCCGTATTATATATAGCGATTATGCTACGCTTAAATATAGCTTTTGCAGCTTTTTAACTTTCTTACTTTAGCATCAATTTAAGCGCAAAGCACTTTCGAGCTATAAATTAATATTTGCGATATTTATTTAGCTCGCGCTTTAAAGGTATTTAATACAGCCAATTCAGCAAGTCGGAGCTAGTAATAGCCTTTGACGCTTTTTACGCCGATGACGAAGAGATAAAGCGATCTTTTTAAAAGTATATTATGTTTTTATTCGAAGGTGCGATCTTTTAAAAAGCTTTAAAGCAAGATATAGTTATTATATCATTTATTAAAGCGAAGCTTCTTAACATAGCCCTTATAGTAAAAAAGACTATAGCGCTTTAACGATTTTTTAAAAAGCTGTACTTTCGTTTTACGGCGCTTTAAGTAATCTATTATAATAATTAATAAACTATTAAGCTTATAGCTAATAAAAAGGAGCGTATCTTTACTAAGCTTCGCTACGTCGATATTCATAATATATAGCTGCGCTAAGAGCACTTTAAAAAGAGCTTTCAAGTTCAATATCTTTTTATTAATAAGATGTACGCTAACGGTTTTATAAAGAACTTGATTTAATAGAAGTTTAAGAGCTTTATTAAGCTCTTAAATTTATAAGACGTTCGCGCGTTTGTTAAAAAGCTTTAATAGCACGCATTTGCTATTCATTTATTATATTTTTTTTTTATTTGCACGTGATTCAAAAGAAAACATTTATTTAACAATTATAGCTGTTATTTTATCTTATCTTACACGCTTTTACTTTTCGCTTTTTATAATAAAAGATTAATTAAAGCTCTTAGCAATCTTTTTACTTTAGCTTAGCGCTTCGCAAAAGTTATAGCAACGGCGAGCGCCGCTGCGAGAGCGGCAAGCATAACAATTAGCGTAAAAGAAGCGACGACGACGAAAGCTACGAAAGCGACGGAAGCAATAAAAGCGGCTAGCGCAAGCGCAAAAGCTGCTATAGTAGCAGATTAGAGCCTTTATATAAAATTCGAAAAGAAGTTTTAATTAAAAAGAGCTGCTTAAATTAAATTATTTCGAAAGTCAAAGAGCTTGATTTACGAAAAAGTAATATATTCGAAGCGCTCTGCGTTATCGGACCACGGTTCGCTGCTATAAGACTATTTAATTTAATAAAAGCTATATTTAAATTGAAAGTCTTAAAAGCAAAAGCAAAACTTGTAAAGCTATTAAGACTACTTTTAAAACTTTCACTTTTATTCGCTAGATCGCTCGGACTATCAGCAGCACTTTTTAAAAAGGTAGCATTTAAAGCGAGCTATTATCGCATAGCATCTCGAAGACTTCGGCGAACTCTTTATATAATATTATTGTCTTTAGCGCTTACGAAGTTATCGAAAGCGGTGTTAACAGCGGCAAAAGCAGCGGTGCAATTGCTATAGCTATCTTTAGCATACCGGAGACAGCGTATAACGCTCGTATCGCAATTATAATAGTTTTTATTAGACTTCGATATGATCTTATTATTAATACACTTGATGCACTTTAAAGCTTTAACGGTCGTTAGCATAAGCAAGCGCTTAATAAAAAGGTTTAAAAAAGAAGGCGAAGCTTCGGGGATAAGAGTGCGTAGTATAGCCGCCGCAGCCGCCGCAGCTATAGCAATAGCAATAGCTAAAGCAAAGAAAAGATTCTTTTAATAATTAATATAAATATATTAATCTATTAAGAGCACTTACTTTTAAACGGCCTCGGCCGCGCTTAACGATTTTACTAAATTAAGTTACTTGCTTAAAAAGTATTGTATAGATAAATAAAAATTAAGTGTTTGTTATAATAAAAACGGACGCGCTCTTACTTATATAGCAACGCAATAAAGACGGCGTTAAAGACTTCCGTTACGTAATAAGACTGACTTAAAAAGGAATTGCATTTTTAATTAACATTTAATTAATAATAATAACCGCTATTTGTTTATTTTAAACTGCGATGACAATCTTTTTTGTTTATATCGAGTTTAAAAAGCTTAATTACTCATTTTTTTTTTTCTATTTGCTTGCAGCTTAGCAGCTACTTTGCTAACTTAAAAAGTATATTATGCGGAATAAGCATGGTTCTACTTAAGCTATATATGACATGTTATATGACCTCGCTTAATAGCGCCTTTAGCACACTAGAGCTCTTAAGTATATGTACATAGATCTTGACGAGCTTCTTAAATAGAATATACCAAGCTTCATTTAATATACAGAATCTCTTCTTAATCTTAGTACTGGTAAGCATTACAGCTGCTTATAAGAGCTGCGAAAGTAAAGCATAAAGTATTATTACGTGCGTGCTTTTTTTTATAATTCTTAGCGTTAATTCGTCGGATAGCCGCGAGCTTTTTCTTTATAAGCTGTATTAATTTGCCGTCTTTCTTATGCGAAATAGCAAAGCAGTTTTAATGCTCGGCTTCGAAAAGGCTATAGCAATTCGCGCATTTCGCCGGCGCTATGCAATCGCTATAAGCTAAGCCGTCGTGCTAATCGATTCTTTAGCTGCATTTGTTATAGCGAAAGTATTAAGTATACTTAACAAGATTATAATATCTTTAGCATTTTAAGTCGTGTCTCGTGATCTTGTATTTCTTTTTAATTAATTTAATCGTATTCTTTATATTAAAAAAGCGAAAAGGCTTTACTTCTTTTAAAAAAGATACGACCAAAGTCATAGTAACGTTAAGAGCTTTAAAGTCGACGCTTTTATCGCCGATTTTAATTTCGACTAGCGTTTATTTCGTTTATATAACTATTTTATCGAAAACGAAGTCTTTAATTAATATTAGTTTTAGCTCGCCGTCTTTATTAAAAACGTATATAAAATAAAAGATATAGTAAACCGCGTAATTATATTAAAGCTATAATATCTCGACTTTAATCGCGAATAAAAGACGCTTAACCGTTTTTTTTCTTTTTTAATTAATAAAAGTATTACGTATTTATAAGTCTTTAATTAAAAGTGATTATTTAGTTTAAGTCGCGTGTATTTCGATGATAAAGTCTATTATGAAATCGCGAAAAGAGTCGATCAGCGCTTTACGTAAAGCATAAAGATATTAAAGTCGATTGCGCTTAGCTTCGTTTATGATTATAACGAAGATTCGAAAGTCGAGTTTTTCCGAGTATATAAAAGCTAACGATAATAAAGCCTTATTCGAAGATAAAGTTTAATTAGGTCCGCTCTTTTTAACTAGAGCTTTAGCTTAAAGCTTAGCTTTTATTAAAATTAAATCGACTCTTTCGACCGTTGCTTCCGCAAAGTTAATAAAAAAAAGTAGTAAAAGCGTTTTAATAAAAAGTAAGTAAAAAGATTCGTTGCGAATGCGAATAAAAACAAAGATCTCTTCGTCGAACTTAGCGTAAAAAGTAATAGTGATAAAGTTCGTAAATTTCTCGGCAATTTTGCGAGCAATAGCTTTATCCGTTATGCTTTAAATCGATACGATAAATTTATCGTTTATTTCGAAGTATTAGAAGATAACACGTTGCGTGTCTGCTTTTTTTTTGTTTAAAGCCTTTATTTGCGCTTTTATTTTAGCGTAGTTAAAAGTATCGAGCTAGTCTTTAATATTTATAATGAGCTTCGGAGATACTTGATTGTTTATATCTCGTTGCTCGTTTCAAAGACGTTTAGTAAGGTTGTAATAAAGTGTTATTGCTTCGTCTAGTCGAGTAAAGTCGGCCGTAATATTGCTTCGAGAGCGGCGGTTTAGTATCCTACCTACTATTTTTCGAGCTACCGAGACGAGGGCAGTTCGAAAAGAATAAGAGAGGTTTGAAACGTCAGAAAATGAAGTTGTTTGCAAGCCTGGACGGCAAGAAAGGGCCTTATCGAAGGATCCTTTAAATTCAAGAGATGATGTAAAGGTGAACGGGCTGATGGAGAGTACTGGGAAGGAGGGGAAGGAAGGGGGACGATGAAGCTGTGCTTGTGAGAAGAAGAAGATGAAGAAGAAGGCATTACCTAGGGATTATAGAATAAATCACATAATCAAAGGGAACAGATTAATTAGCCTGTTCTTGATATCGCTATAGCTATGGCTATCTAGCTGCCTTGCGAAGTGGTAGTAGAAGGTTATTGACGTTTAGGCTTGAAATCGTTTTTCTTTGCCTCTCTCTTTCTCTCTCTCTCTCTTGCGCGCGCGCGCGCTTACAGCCACAACACTGCTCTTTGATTAATGACGGACGTTAATCCGAAATGATAATTAAGCTTAATTTAAGTAGTAATATCTCGAAGGACAGGAAGGCATCGATACTTGCCTGAGATGTCGCTTAAAGGGATGACCACTTCAAAATTTGTTTGATGATAGTAATGATAATGAACTCTACTTGAAGACTGGATGATCTGAGTGAGATAGAAGATTAAGATGGAGATTGAAGTTTAATTTTCCATTGTTGATCTTGATTGACGCACGTTAGTCGGCTGGTAAACGACGAGGAATCCCAGCCGCAACTACCTATCCTAAATGATTTTTTACATACCCGTATGTATGCATGCCCAAGAAGCCCTAAACCCCGAAGAAATAATATACTGAAGGAAAAAAAAAAAAAAAAAAACCCCCAATCCGCCTTATATCCTTCAGCTGCTCCCAACACATAACAAGCCCACTATCATCGCCCCTATCACCCCCGAGAAAGCCCAACCCAAGGCCGCACCCCAGCGCCTGATCCTCGCTTCCACCCTCAGCATCTCTTCCAAAGCATGCACCCGCCTCGCGTGCTCACTCTTCAGATCCTCCATCTCTACCGCCCACGTCAGGTCTCGCCGCCTCTGGTCCTCGTGCATCCGGCGTAGGCGCAACAACAGCGCCTGGTGCTCGAGGATCAGGTCCACCCGGCCGCTTTGGAGCTCGCGGATGTCGCGCCGGAGGTTGCGGCGCTGGGCGCGGGCGGCGCGGAGCTCTGATTGGAGGCGGCTGGTTTCTGCTGTATGTCGCTGCTGCTGGTCGAAGGTGTGATCGTTGACGGGGACGAAGAGTGAGTGTTGATCTGTGCTAGGGGCGGAGTGGATTCGGTCGAGGAGTTCGGAGTGGGATAGCTCTGGGGTTTCACAATGAGCAAGGAGGTATGCGCTGAGTAAGGTCGTGGTCGGTGTTGATGAGCGCGGTGGTGGTGGTGATGCTGGTCTGTCGACGTAGGCTCTTTGCTGGCTGTAGTAGACCTGGTTCCGGTTATTGGCGGTCATGATGTCGTTGTTCTTTGGTTTCTCGTTAGATGGGAGGAAGATGGGAGGGGTTATGCGATATTATGGGATATAGATAGATGGGTTATGTATACTTACAGCTCTGATGCAGCACGGGAACTGGGTCATGGTAGCCTAAAGCAGCTCGTGGTATGACTTGCGTCTGGTATAGTAAATTACGATGGAATGTCTGAGTTCTAGAGATATGGGGTTGTGAAAGTGGTTATGCCTGGGGAATATGTATATAGAGCTGTCTGAGCTCAGTCTGAAGAAAATTTACTGACTACAGAAATAGAGGAGATAAAGAGGTTATCACGGAGAAACACGGGCGAACCTCTGACTATACATATACACCAGTGCTAGATATTCTAGATAGCGCCTTCCAAAGACCAAGAGAGCGTCATTCTGCAATGGATTTGTTGTGGTTCTACTAATTAAGCGAGGGCCGGGCTGGTGTCGGTACCGCTATTCGCGTAACGAGCTATCCCTAGATCTACCTACGGGCGAGAAAGCCTTTCCTGACGGATATTTTCCGGCTCCTTTCGCTTCCTTAGGGAGACAGTAGAAAATACGTCCTGCTAGGAGTCGGAGAAGAAGATAATTTTTAGTCTATGGAGGGAGAGAAGTCTATATACTTATTAGCGCTACTAAGGAGTCGTGACGTATTGAATATTAATTACTCCTTCTATCAACTTTTTATTTCCTTTTTGATAGATAAGCACTCGCCAAATATATATATATATATATTGCTTAGTAGTTTAATTATGCTTAAATTATATTTCGATAATTAACGATTTTGCGAGCAAGAAACGTAAAAACGTAATACGCTTTATATTATTTAAAGAATTCGTTAAAGCAGTATCGTCGTTAAAGATTAATAAAATTGCAAAAAAAAAAAAAAAAAAAAAAGACCCTCTCACTTTAAAAAGAATGCTAAAGAATAATTACATTAAATGCGGGTAAAAATAAAATACCCCTTATATATAATAAACTTTTTCTTTTTCTCTTTTTTCTTCTTTTTTTCTTTTTGCCTGCAAGTAAGCGGGAGCGCTTACTTATTTTATAAAAGGGACGAATATAAACACTTGGTTTGCTATGCTTCTTGCTAAAGGCCATTCTGGCCAAACTAGCCAAGGTTGTCAGAAGGTAGCTTTAAAGACAGGCAAAGATAGAATAGTAAGAGTATATATCGATATATCCATATCGACCTGAGTTAGTCAGTTAGTAATAGTTGGGGGTGATGTAGACAACTTCACCCGTGAACCATGGTTCATGCCTCGCTTAGCGTGGCACGCGGTTATGCCTCAAGCAACCCCCAACTTGACTGTAAAGCCTACTATTTAGCTAGTGCACGTGACTCCTTCTAATGGTATAGAAGGAGTCAGCTCCCTTGAACGTTGGGGAGCATACAGAATTCAGATACCATACCAACCGAGTGTTTTGCAATTGCAAGTACTTTGACGACGTTACGAATATTTACGACAGATCGCGACCGGCGATCCAACAGTATAGAAATATGTATTAGTAGTGAACTGATCTTTGGGGCTCTAAGAAGCACCCTCGGATCAGCATATATAATTCTACGCTATTATTAAATAGGAACACTTAATGTCCTGGATACCTTACGAGATTATAATACGCATTATCAGAATCTTTAACTTATCAGATCCTCATCTTAACTATAAGTATAGCGAAGGCTCCCCGGTAGTTAAACGGATAATCGTCGGCTCGCTTAGGTGGGCCTCCTTTCAGCCTTTCAGTCTTAAAAAGTCGGTATAAGCGACTGCGGATCGGAAGCGAGTGCGGATTTTTCGAATGTATTAGAAATTCTTATATACTACAGCAATTACTATTATAATTAACTAAAGAATATTTATATAAATAATTGATTTACGAGCATATCTTTTTCCGAAACATTTAAAATCGTATTATTAATCGATAACAAGCTTGCTATTAAGCAGCAAAGTAAAGAAAATCTTGAATCTGTTGCAAAATAACAACGCGTCGATAAGATTTAAAAAGAAGAAAAAGATATTAAATATCGTAAAGGAATCGCATAATTAAGCGCGGGCGTAAAAGTATTATACGAAAACGCTTTGCTATAAGCTTAATAAAAGACGACGATACAATGCTCATTCTAATTCTCGATTCGAAAGAGATTTAATAGATGCAACAACTTCTTAAAGGTCAAATTTTGCGGCCTCGTAAAAAAGGTATTCCTCGACCAACTCTTTCTCAACCCGAACTTTCTTACGATAACGATGATCTGATAAATATAACCGATACTATTAGAGACCCTTTTTTAAAGCAAGATGTTTTTCCTTTTTCTAGTATTAATATCGATAGCGATAGTTTTAATTTTATAATAGTAGAGATTCAAACGATTCGTTGCGTAAAGTAAAAGACGAATTAGATTTTAAAAATAGCAATCGATAATCAAATGTTTTATCAAATGATACGATTTCGGATGTTTCGAAAGAAGATATAATCGCAGATTAATTATTTATATAAATATTTTTAAGTTGTAGTAGTAATTAACTACTATAATATACCAGGGCAAAGGACCAAGTTCTTTGTAGTGTCACCAACGAGCTAATTAATCGATTTATAAAAATCTTTATATATTTAAGTATATTATAAAATAAATAATAATAAAAACTGAATAAATCTAAAAGTAATTAGCGCAAGAAATAATTTATCTAATTATTTATTATAAAAAAGAATCCTCTTTAAATACTTCTTTTTATAAGGGAGACCTTAGACCCTTTTACGAATTACTTATATTTCAATAATTTAATATAAGACGAGGACCCCCTTAAACCCCCCGTTTTACTAAGGAAACCTCAGACCCTTTTGCGAATTACTT